GGGTGGAGAGAGAGAGAGTAAAAGTGAGAAAGCACCTCCAATGGGGAGTGGTCACACTTCGATTCCTTCTCCATTTGTCCCTCCTTTTAGGATTTTGGGCATGCATGCACAAACACGTGTCCAGCATGTTTGTCATGCCACCAGTCCAGGACTCAAACCATGCAGTTGGCCATATAAAATCCAGTGCCCTTAAACATCATGCAACCACTTGCCCAAAATATTATCATTCTTTACGATGTAAAAGTAAGGGTACAGCTGGGCCGGCAGGTGGGGTGGTGGTTAAGGTGCCTGGATTCCCACATGGCTGACCATGGTTTGAGTCTTGGACCTGACAACTTGCTTTCTCACCTTCCTTTTCTCTCTCTCTGTCTCTCTCTGGTCAACCTCAAAAACGTAAAATAAAAGAATGACAATGAATAAAATTAAATTAAATAATTCTTTTAAAAAAAAAGGGGGAAAGGTACAGCTAACAGAAAGGAGATAGAAGAGTTTGGAAACTTGCAGGGTGGGAGGTCTATGATCTTATTTGTGCAACAGTGGGAAAAGTTTAGTACTATTTATCTTATATATAAGCTTGATATTTAAAACTATCATCTCTGAACAGTATCTATGATACTGTATATGTTTACTGAAAAAAAAAGGAGGTTCTGATACGACATTTGAGGACCTCAGAGTAGTGACCTCACCAGGTACAGATCCCAGGGGAACAATATGAGTCCTAATCTGTTATACCAGAGTAGACAGTCAGTGGACTTTGCCAGTCACTGATAAATCAAGACAGTCATGTGAGCATATTATTTAAAGACATAAAAGTAACCATCAGAAAACCAACAAACCTTTGAGGAATAAAAATGAAGTTTGGATAGAGGACTGCTATTTCTCACCTAAAATCATTTTGTATCATTTTACTTTTTAAAATTACATTTATGTTTTAATTTGTCAAAATTTTTTGAATTAAGATACACAAAACTGATTTTTTAGAGGAATTAATGAAAGTTGGTTATTCAGTATCTAGACTAACCCAAACACAACTCTACCAATGGCTAGAAATTGTCGACTTTGAACAAATTATTTTTTTTTCCTTTTGGCACATGTGCTGGCTGGAGAGAGAGAGAAAAAGAGAAAAAGAAAGGGAAAGTGAGAAATCAGTCCTGGGGTGTGTTCAGTCTTCCATTCTCCTCTCAGGATTTTGAGCATGCACACAAGCACTCAGCATGATTTTCAGGCCACTGGATCTGGAACTCGAACTGCATTTGGTCATTGGGAGTTCAACACATTAACCACTATGCTATCTACTGGTCCCTAAATCATTACAATTCTTTATGCCAGTTTCTTCCTCTAAAAATATTAGTTATGATAACAAACACAGAAGTTTATTTTGATCTTTGAAATTGGGAATATCTACAACACTCAGAACACAGAGAGAGGGTGTAAATATAAATCATTACATTTTAAAATTGCTATAACATTTATAAAAATGATAATTAATCTCAATCATATATTATGGTCAATTAATTCTTTGACTCTCCCTTTCTATCTGACTACAGGTATGTAATATTTAAGTGGAAATTTCTCAAATGGTAATGGTGGCAACAGTTCTTCCAGTAGTTTTTAGAGGTTTTAGACTGTTTTTATTCCCTGCTTTACAGGTGTCATGGTGTAATAGAAGAACCCAGTGTTAGCTTGCCTGCCTCCACTTTAGGCAAGCCATTTAGTTCAGTTTAAGTCATCCTGTGAAATGGCAACCTGTTAGAAGGTTGTAGTGAATCCAATGTTCATTTGAGGTGCAGGGGCCATGGCTATGGAGTAAGAGTATAATGGAGCCCATTGAATGTGAGCATCCATGTATCAGTCAAGGTCTTACCTCTGATGTTTGGCCCTGGGATTAAGGGAGCTTTTTTTTGACCTCTGAAATGGAATTTGTTTTGTTTTAAAAACATTAATCATGTGCTTTACATATCCAAAATATCAGGGTCCTTATGTGCGATAAGACTGAGTTTGGTATATAAAATTTCACTGTTGAATTAATAGTTATGCATACAGATATGTTTCCTCTTTATTGGCATTCAATCCTTTTAAGAAAAAGACCATCATTTAAATTATCCCTTATACTAATGTTATGTTTCAAGATATTCAAGAGTAAATGAATACAATTCTATTTAGAAATTTACTTGCAAAAATGTTATTTTTCAGGTTACTGCTACAAAATGCTTTGAAAAAATAAGGGGGATGAGGGAGATGGGCTGAAGAATTTGAATTTGAATGACATCTCTACATGGAACACTCTCTGACATGTGCACATACTCACCCATCCAGTAAATAGTTATTATGGGTAAGATTGATATAGAGATGACAGAAAGAGCTCCTGCTCACAAGCTAGCAGGGCCACAGCAGGTCTGAAGCAGGCCTGCTGAAAACAAAAGATAAGTCTACTTTCATTTTTCAGAAATAGAAGAACATTAAACAATCAAGCATTACCAATTCAAATGACAAAGTTAATACATTATTTAAAGAAATTTTTTCCCCTCTCCACTCCCAAACTTTCCATCTTCATTTTTTTCAATTCATATTCACAGCACTGGTATAAGTGGGAAATATTAAAAAACTGTAAGTCATCTCGTTTGTACTATTGGGTCCCTTCCCTTTGTGGGTAAGGTCACAACAGATCTGTCTTTCTTATTGGACTTAGGCTCCAAGAAATTCCTCAAACAGATCCTTCAGCTGAAAGCGTCCTGTTCATATGTCCTGTTTGTTCTAAAGACTATGAAGAATGAATTGTATTACAATTCTAGGTCTCTATAATAAAAGATTGCCCTTGATCATCTGACTCAAGTTTAAACAGCGTGTTTTGGATTTATCCATTAGAAATATATTATTTCAAATGATAAATGAAGATCTGAAGAAGTCATATGCTAAATAAGTTCTTTGTGTGGTTGTTGGTTATTTGCATGTAGTTGAAATGCACAGATGAGGACAACACTGAAAGCAAACTGATCTAATAAAATACAGTAATGCAGAGAGATGTTACAAATCACAGGAGTAATTTATTTAGTGTCACATTATTGGGTCAGTTTGTCACACTGGAAAGGTCATTGTAGATCAAGATTTGGGTCTAATCTTGGCTGTGGCCCTCTGAGGTTGAGCAATCTAATCTCTCTTAGTTTTGGCTTCATCCACTGCAAAATGGAAATTCTGAAACTAAAGATGCTGCAACAGTTAAGTAATACAATTGTTAGAGTAGCTTGTACCTAGCGGAATTAGGGATCTCATTCTGACCTTGAAAATCTCCTTGGTAAGCAAGGGCCCTCTTGCTGTTCATGTGCATCACTTGTACTGGAATGCCCTTCAATCTTCCTTTCCCAGGCCAGCTTTCCCTTCTACCCAGCCTTCTCTGGATTGGATAGAACTTCCAGAATGCAGATGGTATTGAAGTATGGGTGGATAGTAGCTCAGCTGGATGATCATATGAATATTCTATATCTTAAGCATATTTTTTGTCTTTTTTTTTTAAGGATCAGGCTATTCTTTATGCTATGATGGAGGAAGAAAAATAAAGGACACAATAGAGTTAAATATTAAAGA